ACAGTTGTCTTTTCTACTGGAGAAATTTCATTTTTAGGGAAACATTACTAACTGAAGGAAAAAGCTTTCAGCTGCCTTCATGTCTTAGACTCAATAAAGGATAAGGATAGGGTATTTATCCCATGAGTGAACACCCTGAAGCAGTAATACGTGGTTGGCTTAAAGGAGATCTAAGAATCTCTGTTTGACGGACTGGCCACTTTCCAAATGAGAAATCAATGACTGTATTCTGGGTAAAGAAAAGCCAGGATGGTTTATGACTTGTTCTACATATACTGTGGATCCAGCCAAGCTCTGAATCATACACAGTTGAAGACAGTAAAAGTAACATCCCATGTCCAGTGAGGTCATTTGCAACATAAGGTACATTCTGTCAGGACTCTGCACAGACAGTGACTTGATAGATTTTAGAAATTAGACTGTAGAAAGACAGATATATGTAGCTGGAAAAAGGGGAGATAACATTGTTGGGTTTCACTGCCTAAGATGGGCAGCTAACTAGATGCAAGCTGGTTTTGTTTCTGGTGAGGAGACTTGCAGAAAAAATGAAATGGGTAAAAGGTAATTCTGTCTGCAGGAATAGCACACACCTTTATAATACCTGTAGTGCTCTGAACAAACTGAAACTGTATTTAGCTGTCAAAAGCAATGCCTGTGTACTTAATTACTTAAAAAAAAACCCCCCAAACAAACAAACAAAAAACAAAAAAACAAAAAAACCAACAAAAAAAAAAAAACCAAAAACCCCAAAAACCAGAAAACAACCAAACAAAAAAAATTAAAAACCAAACCAAAACAAAACAAAACCCCCAAAAAACAACAACAGCAACAACAACAAAAACAACCACCAAAAAAACCCTAAAAATTCTGGTTTACAGGCTTTACACTATTTGGTATGTCATTGCTACAGTCGCACAGAAGCAGACAGAGAGTGCCACGCATTCTGAGGGATTGATCATCATGCTCAAATACATCAAAACACAACCAAACAAAACAAACAAAAGAGGTTAATGAAAGTGTTAAATTATAACAACAAACTCAAAAAAACCAGCCATAGGACTTAGTAATATTTTTCCCAGCAATTTGTCACATTGTTTACAGCAACATGAATAAAATTACTCACACTCTTAAGAAAGACACAATTAAAAAAGTTAGAAAGCAAAAACTAATTCCATGAATTCTTCAGGTTGTCCTCCACTTGTATACTCAAGCAGTGTTTTGATCTCTCCTGCTAGGCTGACAGTCTTTAAGAACTTACCCCCTTTATAATGTTTCTGGTGAACTCACACCAGTATACTAAACCAAAATATCCTTTATTCAGCTCCACGTTTCTATGAGCAAATAACAGCCTGTAGGGATTCAGCGCATCAGCTGCTTAAAAGATAAACCTACCCAGCTTGATGAAAACTGCTCCACTTTCCTGTTGAGAGAAAACAGTTACACATTTCTAATAAATTAAGCAGGAACTGTCATTTTTTTGGCAAACTGATAACTAGCTGTAACAGCCGCATTGCCACAAGTTGCTTTTCCAAAGTAATTACCATCAGGCTCCCTGTGGTATGCAGTGTTTAACACATTTCTTCTGTGTTAATGAATGCAAAAGCAGGCAACACCACTATTAGTAATCGCTTTTTATTCGTAGTCCTCATTTTCCAGATAGGTCACATTAAACACAGCCATTAAACAATAGCGGTTGAGAAAATCCATACAATGTATGCTGCTTTTGTTTGGTTTTTTTGTGTCATTCACCAGTCATTGGTGCAACTTTGAGCCATATGGGGAGACAGGGGCTGATAAATGAGAATGCCAACCTGTATCACAATTGGGCCAGAGAAGTCAAAACCTTAATCAGATTTCATTCAGTTACATTTCAAGTCAACAAATCTTGATAGCCAAAACTCCCATTTAAATTAATGCAATAATAACTGCTGCCTGATGTCAAAAGAAAGCAATTAAACAATAATGAGTGGGTGTATGTTATGCTAAGCTTCAGACTCCTCCTTGACCTCAGCAATTTCCCTTCTGTTTGACAGCAAGCAACATGAAAGTTTGTTTGAATGGTGTATCTTGTTCCACTATGAACAAAGTTTGACTTCTAGGGGTAACTTGGATTGGGAAACCTCTATTCTTAAGCAGCAAATCACAGTTCAGGAGAATCTGTTTCCTGATAAATATGCCAATTAAAGAAAAAAAAGGGAAAAAAGAAAGGTCTGATTTTGAGTTCTGATTTGATTGGCCAATTGTATAAGGAATTCCCAATTGCTGGCTTTTTTTTTAATTAAAAAAAAGATACAGAATGCCTTATTAGCTATTCACAGTGTACAGTACAAATTTACTAGTTGCTTTACTTGCCTCCCTTAACTCCAGCTTTCCTTTTATACTCTTTTGACAGATATTTCCTTTCAGTCTTATAAAGCATGTGTGTAAAAAATGAGAGAAATAACTCATAAACTTTATCTTTCATTGCTGCCTCTTTCTCCAATGGTGATAGTAGAGATACCATGGAGAAAAAAAAACACTTTAAAATCTTTTGTGTGCAGTACATCCTTCACACAAAATCATGTAAATTTTGACTGAACCAGCAAAACTCACATTGTATAAGCTCTGCTGGTTTACTGGTTCATTATGTGTCCATTCTAAATTGTGAAATAAATTTTTTAACCTGTGATAATTTCATACTGGGAAGCAGTATGCCAGAGTTCTACAAAACAAGGCAGTTGAAAGACAAATTAAATAAAAGCAAGGTTTCCTAAACTCTTCTATAAAGCTGTGAGTCATGAATTCTGAATTACCTCAGAGTGGTAAATAAATAATCACTACTAAATACAGATAATGTGTTAAACAGCTAAAGCTAGTAAATCACTAGTGACAGAGAGCCTTAAGGTAAATTCCTCTTACATTGGCACAGCCCTTTCTCAGAATGTTGTGGTTTTATGTCTTCAGAAACATACAATGAATTGTACAATTGGTTACTCAGTGTTAAAATCATTTATAAAATACACAAATCTCCATCACTTGACTGCATTTACATATTGGCGTAGATTTTGCTGAATAATGGATCTCACTGGCAGAGCTAAAGACTTGGTGCACAGACACTGAAGTGATGGGCACCACAGAAATACGTAGAAAAGACTGATCAAACAATAAGAATCCTCTCCACTATGGAATTTCAAGCTATCAAGCTATCAAGCAAAACCAATCTTGGGTCTCCTGGCCAAAAAAACAAAACAAAACAAAACAAAATTATATAACACAGACAACACCACGTTTTAGATACATAAATTGTCCAAAACATGGAGAGTAGCTTGATAAGACATGTACAAGATCCTTCTTTTGCATGTAATTGTAGACATTTTTTAACAGGAGCTAAAAGCAAACTGTCAGAGTTGGTGTCTCCCAAAGACAATTCATTGTAGGACTGACTAGCTAAAATCACCATTTAAATGCAAGCCCAAAACCAAAATAGGCTGTTGGGTGAACTTTCGTTTTTGAACTGATAAAAAAACTATGGCTTGTGGTATTTCAGATTGCCAACCCCTTTTATAAATGTTTTTATAGTACAGATTAAATTTAAGAAACCAAATTCATAGTTTTTAAACAATGTGCCATAGTGGTATTTCCAGGAGAGTATCCAAAGTATATAAGGGACAAATCCTGAGCTAAACATTTTATTCTTCTGCTTCTTCTTGTATTGTGGAAGTTCATTTGTTCTTTTCCAAGTTTCATTTGAAAGTAACTTTGAATTTTTCAAATGCAATAAAAACATTCTTAGGAAGCAATAATAAAAAATAGAAACTATGTCCCAAGTTATTCTAAGTTATTCTGCAAATATTATTCAGATCAAGTGAAAACCTGACTAAAAACACCCCCCAGAATAAGCAGTATTTATCTAGAACTGCAGTAAGCTATTGCACATACTAAAGAATCAGATAAATTACTGCTCATGCTAGATTGACACTGACATAAATTTTCAGCTCTATAAACTTAATATCAAAACTTTTAAAATGGTGGCATCTCTGAAGAATTCAATCAAATATCCTGCATTGAATAGGCTGGCTGCATGTGTTGCGGAAAAGAAAACCAAAACCCAAGGAGGTTCCAGATGTTGGTTCGAGTGTAATTTTTGTTATTAAACATGGGTTTGCAATAGAAGCTTCTACAAGGACTTGCACATAACCATGACTGATGGATGTACTTGTAGGCTGTTCAGTTAGCTCCATCAGCTCACTCAAACATATTTTGAACAGATTATGTACTGCAGTACTTCGTAGACCATACATTAAACAAGAGACTTTGCTCTGAGGCGCTGCTTCCCATATTCCATGGGGAAAAGGAAGCAGGAAAAAACAAAACTCATAGAGTTCGACAGCTACTGAGGCAACACTTGCCATTTACAATATAAGCCCAAATATTTTTGCAACACAACTATATATTAATTTAATAAAATACACAATATAGCTCTTATACACTCAACAATTTGGCTCATATGCACTGAATCTGCAATAAATCAATAAAAATATGTCATTTGATGTAAACACACTGAATCTTCTTACATTTGCACATTTAAATGACCATGTGATTTTCGTGGATGTCTGACATTTTCACTTTCCTGAGCTATTTTAGTGTCCACAAATGAATAAAAAAGTGTTAATAATGTTAATTTCTTTTCTGTATTACCATTAAGGTAACTCTTTCCTTCCCAAACTTTATTTCACTCCCTTTTATTTTTTTTTTTAACTTATCACTAACTATTTATAGCTTTGTTGGACACTAAAATGCTAAATAGATATTAAAATCTTTTTTTTTTTTTTCCATTTCATCAAGTGAATTAGCTTATGTGTGTGCAGGACAAGATGGACTATATAATCTTACATTTAACCTTAATATGATATGTAGTGTTTCATTAATGATGAGGATATGTTTTCTTGAATAATGATCTGGAATGGTTCTTTTTGTTCTATTGTTCTTTTTTCTTTTTTTTTTTTTTTTGTATTTCATATTTGTGGCAGATAACTTTGTACATAAATGTTTACCACAAATGAATGTTAATGTTTGGTGTCACTTGGACTACTACAAGAACTCTTTATAGGACTTTCAGTAGAAGCCTGTGGTGGCTGCTGGAAATTCACCACAGATCAGCATTATTCAACCCTGTTTTTCTTGGGGTTTATACGTAAACAGTAAAGTCAGCATCAGCTATTGAGGACAGTCTTAAAGAATCAGACGTATTTCCATTCCATCTTTCTCACACCTTCCTATGAGATTGTCAAAATGGCACTGTCTTTCCTTCTTTCATTTTGTTCTTGGTGTACTTGACTCTGTCCTAATGAAAGTTTGGTCAAAATGAAACCAGTGTTATCTGTCAAAAAGAAAGAGCAGTGAAAAGAACATACTTGTGGGCACTTCAGATGTTCACTAAAAGCCTTAAAGCAGCATTGGTCTTCCTTCATTCCTGTAATTCTGTAACAACCAGGGAATTTACTTATTTATTTACTTTCAATCAGCAGAAGAGGAATGCAACTGCCAGCCTGTCCTTATTTTCCCCCTCACTTTCTGATGGCCACAGGGTCACTTCCCCGACAGTCCTGCAAGAGCTTGTCTATTTCTCTCACAACTTCCTCGGCATCCACCGACTCCCTGCCTAGATCCCGGGCTGAACGGTCTAACTGCTCCAGAACAGAGTCCATCTCACTGGAGTCTCGGCTCACTCGGGAGTGCACGTCTGCAAAGGCCCTAGCCATCTGATCTGATGCAATGAAGGAAGCGTCCTTTGACTGTTTACTGGGCGATAGATACTGACTGTCAGTTGACAAGTACTGGCTGCTTGGTTCAGCCAAGGCTCCTGATTTCACTTCACAACCATCCAGTGGTCCTTTTGTTGAGGTGCAAGGCTCAATGCATGTCTTGGTTGGGCTGCTCGATGCTGAGGGAACCTCCTGAAGGAGAGGACTCAGGGCACGTTTGGCTTTTAAGTAAGGTTTAACATTGGCAATGAGAATAGTGTGCTCTCTCTTGTCTTTCCCAAATGTACAAAAAGTCTTTTTCCCAGTGGGATTCACAGTTTCGTATGTCTCAGTCTCAACGTTAGCTTCAACTGTGGGTACAAAGAGATTTGTGCGATAATCTGCATTCTCAGCCTGACTGGCTGCAGGGAACTGTGGCATCCAACACCTGTCAGAATGACCAAGCACTCTGCATTCATCTGTGCAGTTAACACATTCTTCTTGTTCTGCAAAACAAAGGAGAAAGAGAAAAAAACCTCTAATTATAAGTGGATTTATTTAGGCTAATGAATAGGCGATGATCATCACGTGATGGGTTTACTTGACATCTGGTTTCTTAATTATGGAGAAAAAGAAGAAGCTATAATTAAAATATTTCAGAAGGTTTGCATAAACCTGTTAGTTGAGACAATAGATTTATTTAACTCTGTTCTCCACATATTAAAGCATTCACACAACCCAATGGAAGTATAAAGGGGTCATTAGAGACTCATTCTCAGTGGAATTGAGCTTCATCTGTAAACTAATCTGCTGCAGAAATCTTTTAGGCTTTATTCTGTAAAACTCATACTAGAAAAGAGTGAACAGTACTTAGGGAACTCAAAAGGAATTATAAGGATTAATTTCTCAAATCAAATAACTGAGCAGCGACTGCCTTTCTGAAAATACAAACACTTCATAAAAATCAGCAAGATGTTTTTTCTTTTTTTGTCACCTCCATTTTATTTGTAATTGTTATGTTGTGTGACAGTCACAAAATAAAAAGGTTTTCTTGAAAAGCTTATTTTTCCTGCTGAGAACAAAGAACTAGAATCTTCCATCAGTATGCATTAAATATAAGCTTGTCAAAAAGCACATATTGCAATTTTATTAGACATGAGTATGGATCATGTAATCAGTTTTCCCCTTTTTTGTTTTGGTGCAACTAAGTGAAAATGGATTTGCTCAATACATACAATTTGGAAGAATGACAAATGGTGACACACTATTTGAACTGATGATGTTTTCAGATAGGATTTCTATATCCTTATTTCTTTCAAAGAATATAGTTAAATGAGATTCCCTTGCTACACTTTTAGAACATAGTTTTGGTACTTCCTATTCTACAATTCAAAGAAAACTTTCTGTTTTAAAAACCTTGGCTTGTGTGTAATTTGCATTAAATATATTACATTTGGGCCAATATTTACTGTCTTATAATTGTACTTGTAGCTCTAACCAACCATCAGGAACAAGAAAAACAATAAATAAATAAATAATATAATATAAATAATATAATTTAGTATAGTATATAAATAGTATAAATAGTATAAATCCTTTTATAAATAGTATAAATCCTTTTATCATCTCTAGGTTTCAGTTAACCATACATTGATCTTAATAATTTTGCTTTCACAAAATGGGCATATGGGTTCAATACTCATTTCTTTGAGGAATTTAGTATTTAAAAAGTGCATGGAATTCCAGTTAGACCAAAACTGTTAGCATATCTTTAAATGTAAGGATGTAACACTCATACAGGCATGCAGAACAAGTCTTCAGAAAAGCAGAAGAAACATGTTGACCCAAAGATGGGGAGAATTTAAGCAAACATCATCTTTCTAAATTAGAAAATAAATTCCTAGTAATCTTATATCACCACCTGATTAATGAATGATTGCACTGCAGAGATATGACAAAAGAAACATCAAAGATGATCTATGGGAATCCAAGAGTATAAACAGTTTTTCACATTTCTAAAAAGATATGAATAAATAGGACTAAAACTAAAATTGCTTTATGTCACAGTGATGTTAAACTGTGATAATTTGCTCAGAACTGATAGCTGTTAGTGATATAGTAGTAAGAAAAATCTCATTCTGTACATGAGCTCCCTTCCTTGAAGGCTTTAAAATCTACGTCTGGTGTAAACCCTGAAAAAATACTAAAAGCAAGTGAGAATTAGGTACAGGGACAACAGAACAAAGTGATTGTTGAGGAAAAGGATGTAACATAGGGGCCTTAAATATGAAATTCGTAGAGGTGAGTCAGCCTCAGCTGTGCATCTGGTAAAATCATGGAACAGATCTTCCTGGAAGATGTATCAAAACATGGAAGATGGGCAGGTGATTAGACACAAACAAGTCTTCACTGAGGACAGATTGTCTGGTGGCTTTCTAGGATGGAGCGAATGAATCAGTGGACATGGCAAAGCCTTTCGTAAGGCCTTTGAGATGGTCAAATATTGATATGGCCACAATATTCTTGGTGCTAAATTGGAGAATGATGGATTTGATGATGGATTGTCAGATCAATACGGTAGTGGCTGGATGGTCACATGCAAACAGCTGCAGTCAATGGCTCAATGTCCAAGTGGAAAGCATAATGAGAGGTGTCCCTCCAGGGTCCACACTGGGGCCAACATTATTTATGATCTGCATTTATGAGATAGACAATGGAACTGAGTACACCCTAGAATCATAACAAACTGAGTGGTACATCTGCTTTGCTGGAGGGAAGCAGAGGTTTCCATCAGAGGGACTTACAGGCTTGAGAGGTGGGGGCCATGTGAACACCCTGAAGTTCAACAAGTCCAAGTGCAAGATTCTGCACCTGAGTTGAAGTCAGTATCAATAAAGAATGGGGGATGGACAGATTGAGAGTAGGCCTGTTGAGAAGGATTGGGTCTTCTGGTGGATGAAAAGCTGGACATGAGCCAGCAGCGTGTGCTCACAACCCAGACAGCCAATTGTGTCCTGGGCTGCATAAACTAAAAGAAATCAGATTTAGATTGTACGTGAGGTGGAAGCTCTTTGACATGAAAGTAGGGAGACGCTGGAACAATTTCCTAGGCAAATTGTGCATGTCCCATCACTTGGGAGGTTTCAAAGTCAGGTTGGACAGGACCTTGAGCAACCTGATCTAGTGAGGGACATTCCTGCCCATGGTAGATATTTCAAGGTCCTTTCTGATGCAAACCATTAAATGATTCTGTGATCTCCAAAGAAAACTAATCCACATGCTGGTTTTAGTATCCAATAAAAACTAAAATTATCATGATGAAAAGCAGGAGTAAAATAACCCCTACCTTAGGACTGTAACAAAGTGACAGAACTGAAAAGATTTTGAGGAAGAAATTTAAGTTTGTGGTGTTTGATTTTATTTCACTTGACTGAGATAGCATTGGCATGCATAACCACAGAGACAACATATGTGTGGCAATTGCTTAATGAAATGGGAGCCATACAAATGAAGGACATAGCTATACACCTCATTCCACCCATTAGTTCACCTCCACTAAAGTTCTCTGTATCTAGTTTTCTGGAGCTTCTACAGCATCAAACAGCTGCTGCTTTAAAACAGCCAAGGGAAACTGCTACTCTCACACTCTCTCTCTCTAAAAAAAAAAATAAATCCCAAAGAAACCAAACTACCTCCTCCTGCTCAAAAAAAAACCCCACCTCACTCAGAAACATAAAACTCTGCAAAACAAACCAAATCTATGTATTTTTAAAGACATCTTCATCTTCCGGATTCTTCAGAGTAGACTTGTGACAAGCTCAGCCTCTAACTTTAAAAATGGACTTACAGAAATAAGAGAAATAGGTACTCTCTTCAGGATTTTCCCTAACAATATCTAAAGTTATTTTTTGTTTCATATGGAATTCACGACAATTCTGAGTAAATACTTTTTGGCACTTTTAAAAGTTTACCTAAACAACTTATCCAACTAACTTTTATGTTGTATGCTTAACTATCCTTTGTATGGATATTTGTAAACAATTTTGTTGCTTTATAACAAAAGACAAAAAAGAAAGCCCTGCTGCACATTAGCTACCATAAAATGCTCAGAATTGCACAATCAAGAGACCAGTACTCTTCTCTGCTCCTTTCTTTTCAATTACTCTATCAAAGCAAGATCCCTCTTTGCTTTTTCCTTTCTCACAAAAAATAGCCCAAACATTACAGTCTATTTCATTATACCACAAAAAAAGCAATCTGTAGCAGAAAAATTCTTTCTGTCTTTCAAGTAGTAGTTCTATGTCATATTATCTTAAAATAAATAAATATTCATAGAGATATATATATGATCCTCTGCTCTGTACATTGACAACACACACACATATATATGCATAAATATATCTATATGAAATATAGAACTAAGAAATTCTATTTTCACACTGACTTTTTTTCTAAAACTCAACTGAACTGTATTTCTTTTAAAAAATAAATATTCCCTAAACTAAGATTGAAACAAACAAGCTCAGATGAAAGGTAAAGTTCAGAGAAGTTCTCAGTCACTGGAAATAAGTACTGCAAACTTATTCAGTAGGTATTCTGTTTTGTGCCAAAAACTATGCTTTGAGACTTTCAACACTCATTAGGTTAATTTATTATTACCAAGTTATGTTTGAAGATATATATTAGCTCTCATACACATGCATACATATATATTGGTATGAGGAGGGGTCTTTCACAGTGTTTAGATTATTCATTACTGCCAAGAAAAATACAAAGTTTGCTGGCAATCTCTAACTAAAAGAGATATATGCAATAGCATATATTTGTTATGTATATAATGCATGCTCTATTGTCTTTCCCCTTCTCATTTCCTGTATTTGTTAAAGCAATTTTTATACTTGCATTCCTACTCACTGTATTGACTAACTTTCCATTTCTGCTCCATGGACATGGTAGCAGTGACTGAGTTAAATATGAAGCCAAAAAACCACCAAAAAATACATGGAATGACCTTGACTTGAAACCCACCTGCATTGCATGAGTTTTGTTCCTCTAGCATTGAAAATCTCTGCCTTTGCATTTCATTCTTTTATGTCACATCATAGGGAATGGATTTTGAGTATTGATTATCATACATTATAAGCTGCTTGTCTCACCATTAGCCTGTAATTTTGACTGCTACGGCAACCACACAGTGAAGAAAATCAAACAGGGATTTTTGTACTAGTAGCAGAAACTACAAACACACAGTGAACTATCACCACCAAGGGCCAAATTAGGACATAAGAGAAAATAGAATCAATTTAAAGGTAAATATATAAATATATATATATATATGTAAAATAGGTTATATGCTGTGCTGTACAGAAGATGTGCTGGTAGAGTGATATGCACCATCAGTCTTTATCTCTGTGCTTGTCTCCCTCCCGTTGAAAATAAACCCTTAACAGTGCATGTGTGTACAATAAACAGAAGCAGTCTAGAGGTTTTCCTAACTCTCTGGAGC